GTATCAATCAAAATAATTGAAATGAACAAATTATGATAAGTATCAGAATAGTATGTTTGTGGAGAAAAAGTGCTCAGTCTTTGTATTACAGCAGAAGGTATTTTGAGATTTTAGAGCTATTGTCATGCTAAGATTTTATCATTTACCTCACAAAATTCAATTAAATTACTAGCAGACGTGTTTGATTTTATTTACGTAAAAGCGATCATTCTATATTCTGATTTTCACTTTTGTACACTTTTTCAAATTATTGATAATTCTTAGTAATTCAAGTAATTTTGTGTGGTAAATACTGCAAACACGTAAGTGATCAATGCAGATGCAAATGAAATAAATTGCAATGTAACCTTTGAAGGGTTGCATCGATACTTTTATTGATTTCCTTCAAAGCTTTCTGTGATGTAATTTGGTCCGATTTGAGTAATTTTATCATACTTTCAATGCTATCTGCGGAGTTTTCTACCTGTACATTTGTTCAATCAGTCAGGCATTATTCAGCAAGTCTTATCCTGATAGTCATACAACTGATACTATTCAAACATTTCAACAAAAAAATGGAAATATCAGAAACTTCTATCAAAAACTGATTAAGCATCTGAACTGATTGAAGAACGAAGCATCATTATTGATGCCATTCAATTGTTATAAGCTTCCAGTCAGCTTTGCATTATACATCAATTTTTTTCAGCTTATTAGTTAAGAATGCTTCAGTCCTTGCACATCTTAATTTTTTAAATTAATTTCTTAAAGTTTTTTAAAATTTAAAGTTTCAATGTAAAGAATGAAAAGTAAGTAATTTATACTCTCCGTGCTGCATAATTTAGTTTTGTGCAAATTTAGTCACATTTGAAGTTTTAAAAGGAATAATTTTTAATTGGGAAGACGTATTTCCAAGAAGAATCTAAAGAAAACATGTAGTGAGAGATAGGATTGATGCCGTAGTGATAGTAGCACAAGTTATTACAAGCATACTAGATAATGAGCCGAGAGAATTGTATCTTTGACTGATGCATTCGAATTCAATTCGAATGAAAGCGTCTTGGCATTTTTTTCAGATTTCTTAGTGGACATTGTGCTCGTTACACGTTTTTTGATTGCTTTATTCTTCTCAATCTTTTAAGTAATTTTGTTATTGAATCACTTTCTGAAATTCACGAAAATTTGCATAGTTATATTTATCTAAGATTTCTCTTGAATAGAATAAATGTATTTCGTTAAATACTCCCGGTCTTTACACTAATTGCTTCAATTGAGAATTTTCATTTGGGGTGAAGATAATCGTAAAAATAAACAAACAACCACTTTAAGACTTCACGAATTGTAATGAATGAAAATAAGTCTTAAACATTTTAAATTTGTACTAATTGGAGAAAAATAATATTGATAAGCAAAAAATTTGTAATATTTTTACACAGATTTTATGGTTATTTTATTTTCGGTATAAATACTCTAAATTATTATTATTAATTTGTCTTACTGTACACTTTTCTAATCATCCGAAAAGGTAGAATTCGAAATAATTCTTTTTGAAACGTGAGACAAGCATTTTCATAGCCAGGATTTAACCGTAGCAGAAAATTTCGAAGACAGTGAATCTGACTTTGGTTATTAATTTAATTCTCATGACAGGTGATGCTTATGTTGCCATATTCTGGGAATATACTCTGGTATATATGTAGATGCACTTTCTACTTACAAGCGCACTCTGTATTGTTTTAAAATATTCGTGAAGAAAGGCAGTTTTTAACTTTATGCTTGAGATGCAAAGTAATCTAGATTTTTAGATAGCAGAAATTTTTGGACAGTATAGGGCGTAATGTCTGGAAGAGATTTACTTTTATGTGTTGAGCACGTGAAGTATCGAATGCCCGGTGTTTCAAAGTCACCTATTGGTACATTTTATGTTTACGAGGATCGAGTGGAATGGATAGGTAACGCATCCGATGAAAAACTTGTTATTATATTCAGCGATATTCGAGGTAAGTCTGTTCCTCAGTTTGCTTAAAATTAAAGTAGAGATTGATTCTTGGAACATGGACCAAGCTGCAATGATCTCTTAGTTTTCGAAGGTGTTGACAGCACATGTTTTGTTCTGTACTTTGTCTTAATTTTTGCTTACTTTTATGCTTGAACGATAGATTTTTGTCTTAGGACAACGAATTTCACCACCAAATAAAACAAAAACACAACTGCAAATATGCAAGTATGATGAAGAACAGGCAACATTTGTTTTCGTCAACCCACTTGGCAAGGAGGTGAGTTCAATCTATTTCATAATAAATAAAGTTAAAACGTTAAAGTCCCAATAACATTCTGGAATTTTATGTACTTTAGATGCATGTGAAGGATCGTGACCTGGTCAAAGAAACACTACAGCAAGCTCTTATTCATCATAGACAGGTTGCTAGTCAGGTGAGTTTAATCACTTAATATTGCAGTGCACATTAAATCGCGAGAACTTTCAAAATTCAATGTTCCTGTTATTTCGTTTGCCCATTTGTTCTTCTTAGAAATCTTGTTTTTCAAACTAATGATATTTTTGATTGATAGAAAATGGAATACAAAATTAGATTGTGACAAAAATCTTTTTAGAATGCATCGAGATTGTTGAAATACAGCAAAACTAGAGAATTAGAGGTGAAGAAAAAAATACTGGAACAAAACAAACATTTGCAAGAACTGTATAGACATTTAGTTGCATCAAAACTGATATCTGCACAAGATTTCTGGAGTGAATACTACTATGATGTGAGTATGGCAAGAAATAATTTCAAATAATTTATTGCATGGTGTCATGTACTTGATGTTTTCAGTTAATTATTTGTCTTTCGTTAATTGCAATGAATAGTCTCTTTGTAATTTATGTCTTCTTTTTCTTTAACTTACATATTGGAGTGAAAAATTTCTGTTGTAATATGAAAATATCAAATGTTGTATTTTAAGCTCTATTGGTCTAAAAATAATTTTCTAGATTTTTCCTCTAATTAGCCGTAAAATAATGCATTTCTCTCTTAGCTAACACTTGATTAAATAATCAGTTCAGCAAGATGCAACTGAGGACAAAACAGGTGTTTCTAGTGGATTTTTAAGCAGTATCGCTCAATCGGAAGGCACAAATGGAATAAAGCTGAATCTCAATGTTGATACAATTCAAAGTATATTCAAGACGTATCCAGCAGGTTTATTTTGTCAATAATAGTTTTCATTTTATGTCGAAATGGTTAGAGTTTTCCAAAAGAAGATATTTTTTAGTGGAAAGAAAACATTTGGAATTAGTGCCACATGAAATGACCGAGCAAGAATTTTGGGCTAAATTTTTTCAGTCGCACTATTTTCATCGTGAACGCGATATCACAACTAGTTCATCAGATCCTTTTTCCGACTGCATAAAAGCAGACGACGATGGTAATGCTTTTCATATAGCATATAAGAAATCTTTGGTATACTTTAATTGAATTTGATTTCATTTTTTTTGTACATTTTGTAAATATTTTGTTATAGTATATTTCTTTACTTGTCAAAATATATCTAAATAGATGTTTTTTAGAAATGCGAAAGTTACTGGGCACCAAAATTACTCATAAAACACTTGATTTTTCTTACATCAGTGATGATCCTATATTCGTACGTTACTTTTTTGCTTCTGTATATTTATAGCTACAGTGCTTTGCTGGCCAAAGTTTTTTTGGTGTGAATCCGTATAATTTATTTTAGAAAGATCTTTTGTCTTTGACTCAGTCTTCATCTTCCACCAAGAACATGTTGCTCAAACGATTCAATTATCATTCAGAACGAGTTCTGCTGACAGCTGCTGAAAATAAAGTAGCTATGATTGGTGGTTCAGAGCCGCAATCCAGTGTTAATGATATGGAAGTATTATTTTTTCCATTGTTTAAAAAAGATTTTTATCAATTTTTGCTCATTTCTCTTTGTTAGTAATAACTGAATTAACCAAAAAGTATAACCTTTTTTTCATACCTTATACTTTTTATAAGAAGTGCAATTAATATGAAATTCAGTTTGTTTTAATTGGTGAAGCTACTGACATTAGGTTTGAACGCAGAAATTTAGAAGCATGAGTTTTAAGTATGCTAAAGTCCCCACTTTAAATTTAAATATATTGATTACTTGAAATTTCACCAAACACATCACAGTTTTAAATTGAAAAATTTTAAGGTAGATGAAAACGAATCAGTGGAAAAAGACCTAAATGAAATTGTGCTGGAAAGTGAAGAACTAAGATCCGATAATCACGAGGAGCAGTTAGATAGCATTTCTTTTGCAGTCGGTGATGTAATCAGATCAACTCAGCGTTATTCGGCCGATCAAGCGCGAAGGTACCGAAATATTGTGCAGAAAGTATGTGAAAATATGCTGGACGTGGTAGACTCAGATGAAGTAAGTGGCTTTATTCCTGTTGGCTTCAAGAACTACCTTAAAAAGTTAGTTCTTTTGAATATTGTTTATATTAGCTCTCAAAAAATTACTAGCTATAAAAAGCATTTTTTGTATTACAGAAAAATTTTTATGGTTCTTTCTCTCATGAATTGCTTCCAGGATTTTGATATGGACGACAATTATGAAGATCTTTTGGATTTAGCTACTGATAGCACAAAAGAAGTAGGCAGAAATATCGTGCAGTTAAATCCAACAGATATGGTTGACTTGCAAGCAATTCACGATTCTGTTGCTGAACTGTTAAAGCATTTTTGGATGTGTTTTCCACCAACGACTCTCGAAATGGATGAGAAAGTGATTAGTTTGCCAAGTTTTTCTATTTCGTTGTAAATTTTACTAGTTTGAATAGTCCTAGAAAAACCGATTGTCACTATATTAAAGTATTTTTGCAGTTGAGAAGGATGAGTGCTACTGTGAAAACTTTTCAAGAAACTAAAATTGCTGAGGCCGAACAGCGGTTCGGAGTGAATAATGTAAGTCGATCTTTAATCTGTTCGCTAGTGAGAGTGCCTTTTAAGAACTTGTATTATTTGTTTTTATTTTCCTTCATCAACTGCACTAGTTAAAAAAACAGAGACTCTCACATAACTGATATTGTTTATGTTTTCAACCAGCATTTTACACTTTTTTCCGTGATTTTAGTTAATCTGTAACTCAGTTGCTTTTCATTTACAATTATCATAATGCTGATGAAAGATGTGTCATAGTCTGAAATAAATCTCTTGAATTCTACTTTTTTTGGTGATACCAAAATATTTACTCTACCATAACATTTAGATTACATTAGTTCTAAATGATATCCGATCGTTATTAGCATTAGTTGTTTATATTCATATTTATATTTGTACTATGATCTATAGTTCTAGAATCTTCCGGTTCTAATTTGATCATCCTAGTATAATAGTTTGTTACACTTACAGCAATGCTTATTTATTCGTCGATTTCAGCTTGCCCGTTGCCGTCAAATGATTAATTACGCTGATACACGTTATAATGCTTATCTACAGAAAAGGCGAAAATGATTGTAAGTTTGCATATAATTATTGTTTTGGCAAAATCAACAACTACAATTTATTTGAAGGAATTAAAAAAACAGAACACAAATAAAGTTGTATGAAATGAATTTGGCCTCATTACACATCGAATGATATCATCATACTACCAAATTCTCTCATTTTCAAATGAAGTCATATCATTCGATGTGTGATGAGGCCAAATTCATTTCATACACCATTTTGAGTTGTTTTTTTTATTCCTTCAAGTAAGTTGCAGTTTTTGATTGTGCCAGAAAATAATTATATGTTGATCTCAATTTGTTGTTTATTATGTTTCATAGCACACGTTGAATTTTTTATCTCTACTAACGGGTATTTCTCTTGTTTTGTTGTTGTTTTAGAATAAAAGTTGCTGACCATGAAGTCGATTTTCCACTCATGTACTGCAAATAAAAGGAAAGTCCATCACTCTTAGACTCTATTAGTTCTAAACTAATAAAGTGTAAGAGTACCTTAGTGCCACATGATCAATTTATCATCGCGTGGTTTTTTGGTGCTAGTTCTCACCATTGTTATTGGTCATAGTATCATGTATATCCTTATACCATGATCTATAACTTTAAAGTTTTCTGGCTCTGATTTGGTCATTCCAGCATCATTTTTGGTGTTTTTTCTTAATCATTTTTGGCGTTTTTCCTACGTTTGTCCTTAATTATATATTACGTTTACTGCCTTGTAAGTATTTTTACGTTCAAGGTGATAATGCAAATTATACATGACCCTATAGCCTTGTTTACATGAGTTTAGTCTTCGAGGTGTGGTTGGCTATGCTGCGATTTTACTGCTTTATTAATCTTGAAGATGCAGATTTACTTAAACATGCGATGTGACCATTAAATTACCAGTGACATGACTTTATTTTGGAAAAAAGTTATTACAATTCTAGAATACTTTTAACATTATTTATTGCTGACTTGACTCCACTGATAGGAATATCATCCAAATAAGCTCCTTGGTGATATTTTCTCCGACGCCAAATATTGATCAAGCTAGTTAAGATCAGAATCGATGAGATCACTGTGATCGAGGCCAAAATAAAGCTGCAAGGCAAGTAAGGATAATCATGAATAATTCTGCGAAACCAGCAAAATTTACGTATTTCATCGTTGCATTCTGGTTAGGCTGTGATATGCGACTATCGCAATTTTTGATTCTTCTAATTACTGTTCCGTTTATCGAAGTAATCACTGACAACTCAGATGCAAATTGCTTTTATGAATAAAATATAAGCAAGTGAATAGATGTACGAAGGTCAATTTTATATCCAAACATAACTGTACAGCAAGGAAAACAACGTCAAGTGGAGAAGAACATCAAGTTGGTAAATACAAAATGCAAAGACGGATTTCATGACAGACATCGCATGCGGTCAGTAGTTTTTTACGAGTTGTTTAGATAAGAAATAGGGCTTAAAATAGTCTCGGAGGAGCAGAATGTATCGTTTTTATTATAAATTACTTAAATATTAATATTAGTCACTTCTTTAACAATAATCTAGAAAGAAGTTGAGGACTTTTGCAGAATAAAAAAGAGGTAACCAACTTGAAATTAAAGAGTGGTTCACTAAGCACATTTACATCTTCCTCTATAGCGATTTGTTCGAATTCCTCGAGAGTTTCTCCAGATCCTCGCTCAGTAAATTCCATTGTACGAACCTCAAGATAAGTTTTTTGTGATAATAACAGTACTATGACTTTTTGCAAATACAAAACATTAACACTTAATTCTTACAGTTTTACTTTTTGAATATAAGATTAATTTACGAAGATCCAGACAGACAATAGTCGCTTGAATCTCTTACAACTTATAAGAAACTTTTCATATTATTTTTTCAGGCATTTAATGAATTTGTTCAATAATGTAAATATGACATGACATCTATACTATAATGACATAAGAGATTGTGAGAAGACGTAACTACTACTGTCACTTGAACTAATGATGGAAGACATATCCAGTTTATCTCTTTGTTGAATAACGCCAAATGATAGTCTAAGAAATATGTCTCGTTTTGAGATAGGATAGATGCTGATGATCTATGTGCTCGTCCCGCCGTAAAAATTTGCTTTGATTCTTGTAATGAGCGCAGATTGATATACTCTCATCCAACAAACATTTTACTTTCGACTTCTTATGGTCACTTTGAGAGACTAATAATACATTATGATCATTTGAGGATCATAAACAATTTATACTAAATAGTTGCAAAGATAAAGCGGTCCTCGGAAGTTTGAGAAAGTATTTTGCAATTTTAGGATCAGTGGCAAACTGAAGTAAATTTTGTATTTGTACATAATCAGTCAGTAAAGTACTGATTTGAAAATGAACGAATACTACGCAGTCTATAAATTCAGAATTAATTCAAAGATAAAGGATTTATTTTTTAATTGCAATAAGCATAACTCACACGAAAAAAATTGATTTTATTAACAAAACTTCTGATGAAGTTGAAGTGAAATTGAAAGATGTAAGCAATGTTTACTTAAAAATTCATTTCAAAAGGAATGGATAAAATGAGCTTTATCTCTTTCGTGAGATTAAGTTATAAAAAAATTGTAAGCAAAGATTTTCAAGGTTCACAGTGCTTCTTTAGTTAATATGAAAATACCAGATAGCTTTCTTAGGTACAGTTTTAATCCATTTATTTAAATAATATTGCTCACTTTTTAATGTTCAAATTCTGAAAAAATTGGATAATGGTCAAAATTATCTGAAATTTTAAGTAATATGGAATGTAGAGTCAATACTTACTGAGGTGATGTATACTGATTGATTTGAAATTAGTTTAACTATAAAGGTAGTGACTTCAGAATCATTACCCTTCAAAAACGGTTAAATACAGAAGTAATTGAAAGCAACTAAAATTGCTCATTAAGCTTTTATGATTTCGTATGAAAATTTTGGCAGCTATATATCAACGTTGCTTTTTTAATCAAAAATACTTTGGTAAAATACTTGCATTCATTTTCGATAATTTTTTATAACCAAGGTAAGGTAATAGAAATCTTTGGCAATAATTCCGCTAGTAAAACAATATATAGTTTGTTTGTTTTTTTGAAGTATTATTTCCACTGCAAAACTTTTCGACAAAATATGAGTCATTTCTGAATTCAAATTAAACATTAGGTTTCTAATTTAGTAATATTTAGCCATTTTTAATTTCGATTAACAAAATTAAAAATTTGAGCATTTATGTATATTGCTAAGGTTCTTGTACTGTATTTATAACGTACGATGAATCATTGCGTATTTTAATGGTCACTTAATGGGTCCATCTTGCTTCTGACATAACTTTTGTGTACGCAATGACCTTTACATGGATTTTGTGACACAGTTCAAGACTTCAGTTTATCTTCCTCTGCAGAATAAAATAATAAAATCAAACTTAAAACTATAAAAGACACATTTCAAGTCCAGCGATATGCTCGTTACATTACAAGCAAATTTCATTGAATAAAAAAGCACCGTAATAAATTAAAAGTGATGCTCTACCCATTCAGTAAAACCAAATGACAAAAAGCAAATTTCAATACAGTATCAAAAATGGCTAAATATCATCAAACCAATATTACATATACAAGCGAAAAATAGTTTCTAACACAAATTTGTAAATTGAAATCACTAAAAAAGTGTTCAAAAAGTTAAATTTATAAGGCGAAATAAAGTAATTCTCAAAACAAATCATCGATAAGCTAGCCAAGCAGAAATTTTTATGCAACAATTACCTATAATATTCATTAGAAACAATGCGACAAACTAATGAAAATTATATTTGCAAAATCTTTTCTGACTTTCACTAAAATCCTCAAATGCTTTCAGATTGCATTCAAAAATTTCCGGTTTTCGTTACAAAAAAATTTATGCATTTATCAAAAAAAATTTTGATCATAAGCTTTTAGTTACAAAAGATAGCAAAGCGAAATGTACATTTTGAAAATAATTTTATTAACAAACAGTCAAGTTACCTGAATAGTGTATTGAATCAAAATGATAAAAACCTGAAATGACTTTGATAATAATCCTTAAATTTGAACCATGAAGTCTGCTAATTACTGCAAAGAATCAGTGAAAAGTAATTAAACATATTGAAGATTTAATTTAAAATCCATGAATCAGAATTGAAATAAAGAAATCGAAGGACAGGATATTTTCAATTTTTAAGCCAAAAATTAATTCTTTATTAATTACTTTTTTCACGTCAAATTTATTGTGTTAACTCATCTATTCCAAAATTATAAATCTCTTCATATCCACAAATTTCATAAACAAGTTCCCGATTGTTTTGTTAAATACTCAGAGTCGTTTCAATTAAAAATTTTTAATCATTATCAAGTCCGCAAAATCCGTCACCTGATTCGTTATAAATTGAGCTATTCTAGATTTTGAAATAAGCTTAGATAAGTCCTTCGATTGCAGGAGGCTGGATGTAAGGCAAGTTTTTAGCATGCTGATATTCTTCAAATTGCGGACGATATTCGCCATGATTCCGACGTTGTTCTTTTAATCTGAGATATCCAAAATAGCCGCCGATTACAATTGCAATGATTAGGACCTGAAAATTTATGAAAATTATGGTTTTTTTCAATTTATTATGGAAAGTTGCAATAGAAACTTCGAAAAACTCAAAATCTTGTGAAGAAAAAAACATTTAAAAAATGCATAACATAATTTTGAACTAAATTACAGAATTATAAATAAATTATTGAACTTTTCTATGCATAATTTTTTTCAGACTTTATTAATTTGTGTAAGTTTTAAAGGAAAACAATTGTTTTTTACGCAAAAATGCTACAAAACGATAAAAAATTTTGCTGGAAAACTGTATGTATTTTCATTATTTTACAATATTGAAAATAGTCACCAAGTGGAATTGTTAACTTTTGATTTTTTTAAACTTTTTATCCTGATCAAAAGTCTTATATTTGGATATTTAATATTAACTATTACAAAAGTATCCAAACAAAAAACATCTGTATTCGAGTATATTTAATATATAAGCTTCAGTAGATATCTAAAAAGCAGTCTTAGTCAGTCAAGTCAGACTAGCCTATTTAATTATTGCTCAACCTTCCAACGCTCTAATGATTTGCGTATGCGTAAATAGATCTCTATATTAATTTAAACATCTTTCTAAATAAAATCAAAAATACAACAAAGACAACTTTTAATTTAACGAAAATTACCGACCAAAACACTGATCACAATCGCAGCTACACCGCCAGGAGTCAAACCATTCGATGCTTCAGTGGTATTTGTTGCATTTGAAAGTACTGAAGATTTTGTTGTACCAATCACTTCATCCATATTACTACCCAACAACTGCTTAGACAACAATCACTGGTACAATAATTGTTGGCGCAATAAACTGTAGCAGTTAATGTAATAATTACAAGTAGCTTTGGGCAGCATCCATAAAGCTGTGTGCTACTTGCCTTAATTTTAAAATATTCCTGAAATTCCTTGGATTTGATTAATAGTATTAATAAAAAGTTTTAAAGTATAAACATAATTAAATAAATAAACTTGATCAGGTTTGAGTTTTTGATATTTACAAAAAGAAACTTGACCTTCAACCCAATAATTTACTTTTGCGAAATATTTTATACTTCTAAGTTTTTGCAAAAAAATTAAAGATTAAGTTTGTAAAAACGCAATTAATTTTGGACAGTTTACATCATAACAACATGTGAAGTGCGTAAACAAAGAATGGTTCAAGCGTAACTTTTCGTAAGTGATTTTACTTCTAAGAATTAGCAGCATAAAAGTGAAATTCTTACTCTTAAAAACTGCATATTTCTCCAACTTACAACTGCATTGCCAAACGAATCTAAAGTAATGGAAGCACAAAAAATGAAACGCATTCTTGTGTAAAAAAATAGCATTTTTTGCCTGACTAAAATATCAGCTTTGCTATTCAAATAAAATGAATTTTTGTTGGTAAAAGTTATAGAAAGGCTCGCAGCAAAGGTGATGAAAAATATTGTTGAAAAAACATTTCAAGCAATTTTACCTTATGTTTTGCATATTTTCTGTTCATGACTAACATTTTAGCAAGGAATAATACTATGAAGCAAAAAATATTCACTAAAAATAAGTTTACAGACAATGGTTGCTTATTTTTTGTGCTTGAACAATTTATGCTTAAATTAGCTAATCTCGTTCTTGTCTACAAGTCTATTGCAATAATGAAAGCTAGCTTTTTCACTTCTATAGATTATTGCTTAGTTAAACACGTACGTAAATAATTACTCATCACTTGAAAGTATATAAATTTTGATAAAGAATGCAAACGTTAGCATAATTTTATCATTGTAAATCAAGTGATTTGTTCTTATCTCACAAAATTTCCTTTCCAAGAACTGATTTGCATTCAAAAATTTTACATAAAACAGTACTGACCTTTGAAATCAAATAATATTTGCTTACTGAACTTATTTTCTAGACCTTTTTTCTTACTTTCAAAAAAAGCAGATATTATCGAAAGTAATTTCCATAATTTGAAGTAATACTGAAACTAAAAAGTAATGCAAAATAAGTAACTTTTAAGTAAGTTATGAGCAAGCTTTTATTAAACAGTAAAAAGGATTTCATTCTGAAAGAGTCAATAACAGTGTCAATATTGCACGGTTTGCAAGTAAACTATATTAATAACGTTAATATTAGCCTCTAAATTGAATTTAAATGGCTTTTTAAAACAAGGAACTGAACTAAATTTTCAAATTCAGTAAACAAAAGCATTTTTAAAATGAATAAAAAATTACATCACATCAAAGTTCAGAAAATTCTTTCTAAATATTTACTTAGTGACAATGCAAAACAAATTTCCACCAGACATTAGAAATATGCTCAATATTTACTCATAATCAGCATTAAAACATCCGAGTAAGAGAGCGAATATCAGTCTAAACTTCACAAAGCTTTGCAAATTAAGCATTTGTTTGAAAAGATGCTTCAAAATTGTAGCTAATAATTGCTTCAAAAATAAACGTGTGTACGTCAATTTTCAAAAATAGCGCTTGGATAGTTAGAATTGTAAAAGTTTTTAAATGCGTGAAATGTGCAAAACTGTTAATGCAAAGATACTTTGCTAAGAATAAAATTTAGCTTTGAAAACGAAAAAAAAAATGAATAAAAGATAATAATGAAAAAATTATGCAGTCATTTGCAAGTATTGCAATATTGTCTGTACAAAATGATTGCATTATTCAGAGCGAAATTCAGATGACATTTTTGTTTGATTATTATTTGCATAATTGATTTTCAGTACAAATCAAACATCTAAAACGTAAATAAATATATATAAGAAAATGATAGCAAAAAGTTTTATTTTAATATAATTTGCACAGCCCGATGATCTATCCATCCCACACGTTTGAGCGTTAAGAATATGACGTGGCCAGCACTTTTCTATTATTTTCCCTTTCAGAAAACTATCAAAGAAGTAAATGTAGGCATTTTGTTCAAAATTTAACCATTCACATTGATGAATCATTGAAAGGAATCATACCAAGTATCCTTCTAAGGCAGTAAAATATTTTTTCAATACTTATACTACTTTATATATTATTTTCCGCTGAACTTTACTTCAAAATTAATATTGTTAACTTTTAAAAATTAATATAAATTCAAAAATGCACTGTATAGTGCTCAAAGCTAAGTACAAAGAAATTAACTAAAAATTATTACAGATTCTAACTATTGAAGTGTAAATTACGCTATTAATAAACATCAACATTATTGAACTTCAGATATCAGATACTGAATATTCTGAAATCTTCACTGTTATAGTATCAATTACAGCATTAATAAACAAAGTACAATATCAACGTTTAACGTATGGAAAGTAGTCGGATGAAAATTGTAATAAATATTCATGGTTAAAATATCGATTTAATGTTGATAATTACAAAAAGTGTTGCTTATAATTAAACTTTTCAAAGATAGTTGTAGAATTTCCCGTGAAACAGACTTTATATTATTTACTAAATACAAACTACAAATATCAACAGATGTGAAGTTTTGAATTATTGATGAAAAATGTACAGCTTTCAACTATTATAACAAGCTATTTGTTAATAATTGGTAACGGCAATAATTGGTATTATTATGACATTGACAAATAATAACATTAGAATGTTGAGGAATTTTTGATAAGGTATTCTGAGAGCGAAAATAACTCATTAAATTGTTCTAAATTATTAATCGGTATATAGGTGATATCCTTGTAAAAAATGCTGCTGGAATAAGAATTAAATAACAGAAGCACTTGTTACAATAACCAAAGAGGGAAAACAACCTGGTACCAATCTAAAATAAATCTGAAAAAAGCCAAAATGGATAGTACTACTGCTTTGTAGTAAATATTCCAAAATTCTATAGTAATTTCATGCGTTTATTTTGAGAAATTGAATTTTTGCAACTGATTAAAAGGTCAGAAGTTAAAAATCGAAAATCATTTAGTCATTAATTTACACCATTTAAATTTAATAAAGAAATAATTGTTTACTTTCATCGGAAGAAAATCATTTCAAATCACAGCATTTTACAATCACATTTTATTATAAAAACAATGAGTTTCATGCAAAATTGAAGTATGATAATGGCATTTATTTGATAAAACTCATAATACGATATCAATATAATTACTGATAATGATATCAATATTAATAACGCTAACGATAATACTGACAATACAACTAATAATGTTAATTTCAAATAAATTAATTAACTAATTAACAAATTAATAATAATAATAATAATAATGTGAGAGAAATCATATTAAATACAATGCTTCGTGTTGCATTGTTTGTCTTAGGTTTAATCAAATGTTAATCAAATTGAAGTTATTCTTCACTGTTATGCTTACAAGTAGCAAAATTTGAATACTAAAAGAATAGTCGCCTTTTTGATTAATTTCATTTTTGCAGCATTTTAGCTACACTTTCAATTTCGATATCAAAATTTAAATACCTTTGCGTGAAATTTCAAATAAGAGTTCGTTATTCGAAATAAAAACTTTTAGATGAAGTCGGGATCTATTTATAGCCTCTCAGCCAAGTAATCATAGCGAATTAAGGCATGTCAGTGTAATGTTCTGATGAATTTGCCTTATTGGAAGGGAAAGGATTAAGAAAACTGGAATTCGCAACAATGAATTGATGCGAAGTGAGGCATAATAACAAGTTGTGAAAGCTATGTGTGCTGAGAACAAGATAAATCTTCGAGGAACAAATATGGGTTATGTCGGAATTACTCAGTAATCATTTTGCATAATTCCATGTTTGATTAATCGATAAATGCATTGAAAGCATTGGAGAATTTCACTGAGACAGAAAATGCACTCACTGCATGTGAATTCCGATTCATTTTTACGAGATAAAAAGATATTTTATCATTCGAAGACTTGATGAAACCACAATCTGTAGCAGAGTTGAAGAGTGCACAAAATATAAGAATCGCATTTTTAGAAAAATGGATAGAACTGTTTGCATAACTCCAAATGAAAACAAATGCTAATGCATGATAGCCAAAAGTTGGAATGTCTGTCTTATCGTCTTAATCTTTTAATTGATAATTTTTGACCAAAATAAGATCCGCAGTAATCAAAACAGTTCAAAATTTATTCAAGCGCATAATTTTACGAATTTCTAGTTATTTTGCAATTAATTTTGTGGAGATGTTTAAAACAAAACATAAGTCTACTCTTGTTGATATCCGTGTAGGTAAGATTGGTAAAATGAATGATTGCTGGCAACATTCATAAAACAGAATAACGTTTAATGGATATCTGAGTAAACGCTTACATTCAAGAAGTAAATTTCAAATAGCCAAAATCCAAATTTGAAAAGTAATTGAAGTCTGAAAAGCGAATTCCATCTTAGTAGCGCTAAAAATTGTGGGAGAAATGATGGCAGAAATTTGAATTTTACGTGATTAGAGCTTTTTGAAACGAATAAGCATTAGTCTCAGTGAAAAAGTTCACGTCTGCAAAATAATGCTCATATAATAAAAAATCTCAGGCGTTTGAAAAGTTGGTGGCAGAAAATTGAATTGCACACTAACTTTTCCATATATATTTTACACGATTAGCAATTAAAATTTTTTATGGCTTCAAAAATGCATTCTGCTCTGACTTTGTAATCATTGCTTGCTGTCAGAATTTCCGTAAGGATTTTGTAAAGAAAAACATTTGTATATTTTAAAAACTGCTTATATTTGTGTAAATATCAATTTCAAACTATCTCTATTTCATGATTACTTGTTGATTGCTTGCAGAGGATATCGACGACTGAGTAGATTTGAACTGGGAGAAGAACAGTCGATTAGTAATTACTAAACAGTTTATCATTGCTTACTTACTTTAATTTTTCCCATAATTTAAAGGGTTTTGTGTTGGGAAAAAGTATGATATAGCCATAATGCTCAGATCATTTGGTCGAAGTTAAATATAAGGAATTGTGGTGATATGATGATCACAGCAGGAGTCCACATATACATACATATAATAAGCTTTACTTCTACTAATAAATACTCAAAAACCAAATCTGTCAACAACTGTATATCATAAATGTTAAACCTTACAAAAGTAGTTAGTTAGTAACAAAATAAAGCAGAAAAATATAATTTGAAGAAAATAATATATTAAATGTATTAATACATATAATATATTAGATAAATTAATGTTATTAATTTAGATAAATCAATAAAATATCGCTAATAAAGGTACTGCAGAATGAAATTACCGCGACAAATGGAATTGTCAGCGAGGAATCAATGATATATTATTCATTGAATTAATAATCTCTTCAAAATTAATGGAAATAAATAAGCAAATTTGCTATTTTGCAAATACTTTTTGCTCCATAACTACCTGCAAAATTTGGCAGAAAAGTACTGAGCTATTTAAGCAAGCAGAGCTGAAATTAATCAAATGATGCCAAATTAAAGTAACGCAAGCATTGTATTGCCACTGCTATTTATGTCCATAAGTAATTCTTTGCAAGGAATTTTAAAAATATGGAAGAAAAGAATGGCTTAAGTTCTATTGGAATAGCGATAATGTAATTAAGCAAAAATTTTTAAAAAAATAGCACTGAGATGAATTACACTGCCTGAATTCTTCTCCATGTTTTTCATTTGCAGGAACTATGAGAAACCGTATGACAGTCTTGCATGATTTATGAAGAAATGAAGTGACTGTAGCAATCATCTCAAGAAGAATCACAATTTGATATTTTCTAAATTTTAGCCTATTTATAGTTGGAAAAAAACACTAAAAATTATTGCTTGGTAAGTAATAATAATTAATAATAATGATAATTAATAATAATAATAATAATTAATTTATTATATGAGCGAATCAAAATCATACAACAAAAAGCAAATGTATGCAACATGAATTAAAAAATGGCGTGAACAAATGAAAAACATTCTACTTCAAATATAATTTGCTTCGCATACAAAAGAAGATAAAGAATAAAACTGTGGCAGTTAGCAGGGATTGCATAAGTAACAGATTGAGAAGTTGGACTCATGCTAGACGAATGGCACTAATCGGTAGCAGATCGACCAGATTAAGGAAGGTAGTTAACTAATCAACATGAAGCTAGCCTAGCATGAAAGAGTGGAAAGTTGAAACTGAAAGATCACGGAACCGAAGATCGATTTGTAATGGAAAGTAATGATTTGGTACTATAAGTTAAAGGCAAGTTTGGTCTTAGAAAAGTATCAGAAACAAGAGGAATGGAAAAAGTTGATACAACGTTAAAGTTAATCCTCCTGCAGTTGCCATCTCAGATGCTATCTTTTCACCTTGTGTTACCGATTGATCATCTTTATTAATTTCTTGGCCATCTGATATTGATGCAATGGCTTCATTACCTGCAAATACAATCCTAGCTTTCAAAGTAGTAAATACTAAAAATTACAGAAATTACCTTTTTTAATTAAAATAGTATTATAGAAAAATAAATAAATTCATAAAAATAGCATATTTAATCAGAAGTTAAATCTCTAAAAAGTTCTTTATAGAGCAAACTACCACTTGCGTTCAAAAACTGCATAGAACTTAATCCTTCATAAGTATGTTTTCATGCCAGGAAAATAAAAGTTGACCTGATTTTACTGCATTTAAAAGGAAACCATAATTTCTCACTAACTAATCGGAAATTTATTGACATAAGAAACAAGAAAAAAAAGATTTTTATGAATTTGAAAACTATCAAGCTTTTACTTGATTCTAAGACAGTTTCGTCGACTTTGTCTTCTCCTTCTTCTTCCTACAATTAAATATTTGCTTTAAGTTGCTTCAACTTTTTCCTAATTTTAATTCACGTCATTTAGAATTCCGTGACCTTATTCGCACCTTTACAACAAAACTTATTTGAAGCTAATTTTATTGCTAAAAAAAACTACACAAAACTTAAATTACAGTACCAAACTTGATTGAATTTCTTCAGGATTCACAGTGTATTCTGGGCAGTGCCTGTCGCCAGCATGACAAGAACAATCTTCTCCGCTGTATCCTTCGCGACATTCACACACTCCACAAACGCATTTTCCGTGACTCGAACACTCTACGCCGTTTGCCTTGGGGCAATAGCCATCTTCAGCGTTGCATTCACAATACTTCCCATTGGCCTTAAAAATTTTTGCTTCAAAATATTCAAAATAATTTGAATAACTCAAAATCTTTGAAATCCATAAAAATGCTAAAACTAAATCAGTGAATACTTCAATTTATTCCACAGTTAATAAGTCAGTTTACTGATAGTTAAAATTCCATCTGAATAAGTAATATGATGTGTCAAGTATGTTGTAATAAAGCGAAATACAATCATGTAATGATTAGTGATTTTAATTACTTATAAACGATTTGTTGACCGATTTGAATCTTAATCATTGATACTCATAGTATTTATTTTAGCATGAAAAAATAATCTTTGCTAAGAACGATCAAAATAAGTGAAAATAAATTGAAAATAAATTCAATCAAATTTTGTAAAAAATTATCTCTTAAAATCCAACTTTTCCATTTGCTGACCACATCAGCAATAATAACGCAGTGATTAACGATATGAACGAGAATAAAACTAACTGACTTAATTATTTTTTGATTCTCTAAATAAGTTGTGTCTTTCTTAAGTAAAAGTTCAAAAATTATTGGTCGTACTAAAAAAGTTGATAGAGTTCATAAAAAGTTACAAAAGTTCATTACTTGGCCAGGAAAGCATTCGCATTTATTGCACTGGCAATGACCTTTGCCACTACAAACTTCTTCATCATCCGCATTTCTGTAAAATTTCTTCAACCATTGCATAATTAAAAATTTTGGTTTTCTGACAAAATTGAAAATTAAAAAAATTTATTAATCTGTAACTATGCTTTAAAATGTTAACCATTTTTGGCAGAAAACAGAACAAACTTCTATCTCCTAAACAACAACCCATAAACACGTACGTGAATTTTTACTATATGTTATGAACTCTACCTTTTGCACTGAGCTTCAAGTTCACTAGTTGAGCTGACATTATAATAGGCTAAATCACAATCGCAATGTTTTCCTCCCATACCTTTATTACACTCACATGAGCCGCAAACTAATTTTCCATTATTACTGCATTGTGATGCAGCTTCTATCTGCAAAACCACTTTTTTAGCATGGGCCTGACCCTTGTCATGCTTTATTAGTTCACAGCACGCATTTAAAGCAGTTTACTGCGTTTTGATGTCATATAAATCAAAGTAGCAGAAATTATAAATAACCAATTACAAAAGTGTTCAAATCAATTAATTTAAAATTTAAACTGCGCAAAGAATTTTGTTAAATCTTAAAAGATAAATTTTTTGAATATAAAATTTACATGATTTGTAATCTTCTCGCATTCGCACGAACAAAAAGGCGTAATGTAAACGGCAGCGACTATTTCTTCATAGCCGTACACACCAATAGCAACGGGAATATTTTCGCTCGCAGAACAACTTCTCAGATGAAAAATAGCATAAAATTCGACAACAGAACCCATTGGAACATTCTTACATCTCGTGCCTTGTATCAGTTCACTGCAAATATTTATTCATGCATATCTTTTAGTTTTAACTTTGTCCAATTTTTGGAAAAATTTGAAGATAAGTTGACGATGAGTAAAAAAAGTCACGCACAGTCGAAATGAAGAAAAAATCTAACGTGATCAAACTAATCATTGGCAGTGTAAGCAACACAATTAACCCTTTGATTCAACGGTATAATTCTGAGTAAAAACAAACAAACGATTGAATTAATTAGATTAAATCTCAAATTGACAGTAATAAAATTATGTGATATTTATTACTTGTATTTCTGCTTTAACTTATATAATTTCAGAGATATCAAGCTAATCAAAAGAATACTGTAAAAAATAAAACAAACCCTTCGCACATAATCTCGAAAGTCACCTCGAGATCTTCCGGCTGCAGATTACTGAAGCGTAGTTCAAAACCGTCCATCACATATTTCCAGTGCAAATGTTTGAACGATACACTCATATTATCCACTGAAACAATAATTCATACGAATTACATTATTGATACAATTTTGAACATATTGATGTAATGCTGAATTTTTAATTGAATTTCTGCTCAACAAATACTTTTCACTTACTCAAATTTGAAACTTTAATAACTGTAAAAGTAAATGTCTCTTTCAAGTCTGTTTTATTCTTGAAGAAAAATGAAACTTTATGCAGTTTATAAATGCCAGAAAATTCCTTATTTCAAAAATATTATATATTTTTTAGCAAATATCGCATGCGTGAAGAAGATTAAATAAATAAATGCTTGACCAAAAATAAACATTTTGAATTTATTGAAGAAATTTTAGACAGCAAAAACTTGAAATCAAATTACAAAGGTTCTGAATCCAAGAAAATATTAACTGAATCTCACTTGATTCCATACTTATGCAAGCATCACTCTATCATTTTTGTAGATACTGAACAGTTTCTTATTTTCAAGTAATTGTCCTTCTAATCACTACAAAGTGATAAAATAATTCATTCTTATTTGCATATACACAACCTTTTTTATCACAGTTATTGTTAGCAATTATAATGGCTGTAAAAGTTTCTACGAACTATTTTGTCAGTATTACTATTTCACGGAATCTGTAGATTATTGTTGAAGTAATAAGCAAAATTAACATTAAAGTGCACATTTTCCAAGTGAGTATACTTTTGAAAGCTCATAATTTTTTATGGAATTTTTAAAATATTTGAGATCTTTGCTTGTCTGGCAAGAATACACAATTGATAGATAGATTTGTCTACTTAATGAAAATGGAGCATTTACTTATTTTTGTTTATTAAACAGTTGGCATTTGTGTACTTTTTGCAGTGATTATTATTATTATGTTAAATCTTTGTAAAAATTTTCGAACTGACTAATTTATAATTGTCATTTTTATTCTTCCTCTTTGTGTGCTATATACACATATGACCCCTGCTCGCCGACCTCCCTAATATTTAAAAAAAAAACTCTAAATAACTATTTTTATAATAGTAATAACAGTTGTTACTGAACTGCTACAACTATAATACTTATTTATTACGAATTATTACTACAATTATTACTACTTTTCGTGGTAGCATTGTTGTTTTTTTTTCTGCTTTACAAAGTTGTATAAAATCAAAAAAATTTTAGCACTAATTTTTCACAACAAAAATAAACAAACTTTTGCATTCAACTGATTGCAAGCTTTTTTTCATTTAAAATTAATAACGTCAATAAATGGACACAAATTCATAATGTACTTGACACTTTAGCAGTTGTCCCAACTATTCAAGCAGTACAATGAGGCAAATATAACTATACTATATTTTTGCTCTTTAATTTAATTATAATTTATTTTATTTTTTTGCAGTGCATAATTGTTTAGGAATCATGAATATGCAAATATGCTGCTTTCAGAAGTGCAATAATCGCTTTCAGAACTACATAATTCAGTAATGATGTGAGAAATTAAACTCTACAGCAATCCGAACGAAATTCGAAACTTAGTTACCTAAATGATAAATAAGCCTAAATAAAGTACTCAATTACATTCATGCAAGCTACAATTATTAAATTATTAAACTCTGACACAATCATGTATTTGCTGTGCAATTAAAAACTTAAATAATGATTATTGATAAATATTAATTGTTGAGGTCAAAGGTGTAAAATTTCGAAATTTTAACTTAGTCAAAAAATTTCGCTATGAGTAACTACAATTGGCAGAAGCAGTTTTTCGATCAGAATGTTCCAACTGACTAATTTGGTAGTAAATAATATTTGATAAAAATTATGTAAACAAAAATAATGTATTACTTTTCCGGAGTTTGACGTAAACAGTGGATGGCTCAATATGAATTACTTTAGCGTCATCTGTTGAAACTCCGAGTCGTTCGACCTGTAAGCAATAAATGTTGGTAGATATATAACTGCTATAGCAAATTGCCTCATTTCACAGCACAAGTATTTTGATAATGATTTTAAAAAATTTTGCAGTGATTATTTATTAATAATACTTATACCTGGCAGTGATATAGAATAATATAAACTTTATCTGTCTTGGAGTAATAACATAACATACTATAATTACTAATGCTTAATAGATGTTCGTGTTTGAAATTGAAATTGAATTAAAACTGCAATGTTACATTGATGTCAATCATCAGAAAAAAAAGATTCAGAATCGAAAGACTAAGCTTTGAGATAATTTTAGACGAAATAAACTATACATTTTTTGCGACTGCTAGCTGAGATTTTGGAGCGTGAATAAACGAATTATCGCACTTAGTTTTTAATTTTGATTGTTGCATACATCGCGTTGAACCCATAAAATCCTGGAAAATACAAAAAAATCCTTAGCCAAATTTGTTGAATGCTAAAATTACTTACAATTCCCAAATGACAGTATATGAACTTGCTAATTATTAATTTTTTGAAAAGATTTACAAATACGAAAAAAACTTCATAATTACTAGTTCTTCTGCAAATTCAATAACTTTTACATTAAAAGTAATTATCAAAATGTATTTAATTTTAACGAATTCATAAGTAAATGAAAATTATTATTTAACAAAACTATTCATCTATTTGTTTACTGCAATTACTTCTGATCAATTATGAACAAACCGGATCAAGACACCATGCACATTCATGATGCAGTACTAGACAGGAACCACAACTTCTAGCGCCTTTGAAACATATATCTTGATCAGAATCTGGATCTAAAGCATCAAAAATAATTACTAATAAAGCGTTTATTTATTTGTAATTAAAAGCAAGATAATTTTAAGAAATTCTTGGAAATCAGCTTACCAACTGCGCCAATGCTTATCAAAGCAGCCAGAAAATATAACCGAACAATCATTTTTCACTGACTGAAATGCAAAAATTTTGTCAAATATATATGCAAAAAACTGTATTGAATTATGATAAAAAAATAACAGCGATCGTAACCGAATTACGATTTGTGATTAGCACTTAAATGCTTTTAAATTTGGTTTATACGTTAAAATTTTTACATTTTTATTTTTCACACAAAATATAATTGTATAAGTGAATGTATTCTATGGAAATAAACCCTACTAATTTTTTATTTTAACATTTATCAATGCACAGTAATAAATTATTTATGACCTCATCAACTGAACTATAAAATAACTGCAAGTTTTTAGACCAAAAGATCAAGTCGATTTCATTCAGTGCATTTGTTTTGGAGCAAAAAAACTATCAGTGATGTGATCGAAGAAATTTTAATCTATTAATTTGAACATTTGCGGCCTCTCTCAAATCACTAATAAATTTTATACAATTAATTACTCAGTTGACCACTGAAAACTCTAAAAAATTTTTCGTTCATAAAGGTTTTGCGTTAATAGCTCCAAGAAAACTGATGTTGATATAGTAGTGCACAATTCAAAACGAATGCGTGCAAATATAAATGTCCATTATCTAACTGTTTCCACCGAAGTAGAAAAAATAAGATGCAAAAATTAAAAAAGTTAAAAAAAGATAGGAAATAGGGAAGTAAACAATATGGACAAATCCAAATCTAAAATTCGATATTTTAAGTATCAATATCCAAGGTAAAAGTTGGATAGATGTAATCAGTTAATAAATTAGTGAAAGAATAAATATTCCACACTTGTTTAGCTAGCTATCAGATATGAGCAATGCAAAAATTCAAGATATTTTGCTGAATATATCGAGACTCAGTAGTGAATCACTGACTGCTAAATTGAGTATTCAATTACAACAAATTAATAAATCCGAAGTTAATTTAAAAACCAATCAAAATTTTATTTGTATGCATAATATTAATCAAATTTTTTATCTAAAAAAGAGAATTGAAGTGAATATTGCTTACTTGAGAGAAGTATTCTGTAAAATTTGAGCAAAAAATGTAAGCTGTGATGAAGTGAGTAACAGCTGTAAGACAAACAGATTAACACTGCTTGCAATCTGAGGAAAAGTATATTTAACTGTCGACTAAAGTTAGCCTTCAAAGATATTAAAGAATCAAAAATAAGAAAAATTATTTGTGGAAAATTACTCATAAAATACTATCCCGAAATATTTTTCGATTTTATCTACGCGAAATCAAAAAATTTTTACAAGAATATGAAAATTGAAAACAGCATTTTTTTTCTACAATTCAACTCAATCAAAATGTTTTCTTTCTTTACCGTATTAATATCTATCATGCAGAAAACACAACTCATGTAGACGGATGAATGGGTGGATGGATGGATGGACGGATGGATGGATGGATGGATAGATGGATAGATGGATGGATGGATAGCAAAATTATTTCTAAAAGTTCCATTCATAAACTATCTATCATTCTTTGTAGAAATTAATAATTGCAGAAATAAAGATTCATGAATCATTCCATATAAAAGATAATAAATTATCATTTAGCAGTAAAGAAAATAGTTACATATCTAACCTTACTCATATCTCAAATATATCCATTTCTGAAAACAAAATTTGCATTCTTAGTAAATATTAAAATGTTAATAGTGACAAAAATGAAAGGTGTTTAAAATTGTTGATAACATTGCTAAGAGTATTCATCAGTTCATGCATTAGGAGCCTGAATAAATTTTAATCAGTTCAAAATGTTAAAAAATTCCAGCTATTTACGATTAAGGTATTTAATTTTGATAAATTGAAGAGAAATATTCGTATAAATCCAAATTCCCTACTTAAATAATTTTATTTGCATTGTAAGCTAAATATTAGCAAAAATTTTCTAAATAATTGTTGATGTCAAAGACTAAACACTTTGCACAGAGGGTTCAGAGGTGAACAATAATGTTTCTGAGTTGCTTTATCTAATTTGTTTATATTTTAACAAAAGGCAATATTAGTATCTAATCGTATCAATCATAAATCAGTCTGAACAGACTTCATAGTTAATAATGACAAAAACGAAAGCAATTTTTTGTAGCAAATGAAAGTAAAAATGTGTGTTAATTTCGTGCGAGACAATATTTTGAATAAAAATTTGCTTGCATGCAATGATTTTGAATGTATGCAAAAACTTTTAATTATCTGTTAATTAATTTCGCACTGTGACAAAAATTTTTTTCAGATAATTAATTATACAGCGATAATCTCTGAAAATATTACTAATCACTATCAATTTATGATATTACAAAAAGCGAAAAGTGTTGTGTTAAAATTATCAATGCAAACAGTTACGCTTTTAACTTCTATTCAAAATTTGACTTGAAACTGTATTAAAATTGATGAACTTTGGAAAGTTTGATCTGAAGAATTTATCAGTACATGAGAATCTGTTTAAACACATATGATTAGACAGGATTATTGATAGAAAGTCATGAATCTACAAAAAAATCGATGATTCTTGCAAAGTCCAAACATTTAAAAATTATTCTTATCAGCTGAAAGCTAAATTAAAACAGTGCTCTCAAGTTACGCATATTTGAGTGCAGTGACTAATTTGGCTGACTATTTTTTTTTTAAACTATTTTTTTACATCAAAAATTTACAATATTAGCAACTTTAAAATTTTTTAGAGTTTCCAAGTCATAAAATATTTTTATATGATTGAAATTGAATACGAATCGGTGGCAAGAGTTTCATTCCGTTTAAAATTGCGTTTGTCTTGAATTGACGAAGAAAACTACCGCTTTTCACGTCATGCACAATGCTTAGTAAGAAGACGTGGCTGTTAAATACATAAATACTTGAGATTAGTATCAATAAACATTGAACAGTTATTTTGAGAAAATTTTTTCAAAATTCACAACTTTTGAAAAAAAAATGAAAAAAAAAAATTCATAATATTAGTATGAATTTTTCGGAAGTTTCTGTTAGATATCAATTTATGAAGAAATTATAAAAAGTGTATATGACTCACAGAAGTGATCTAAGATTCACTGTAGTGAAAAAAGAATTCTACTCGGAAAAATTGTTATGCATTTGAAAAAGCTGCAGCATTTGACGCATTTGCATTTGCAGTAAACAAAAATTTGTTTGAAATACAAAAAGTGTTTTTAGTTAGATGTGTTGTAGAAATGTACAACAATTATTTAAAAATACTTTGAAATAAAAAACTGATATTTCTAGCAATTTAGAAAATATGATAAATCATTATTTGAATATTTTTGCTTGAACGTTTTATTCTTTTTTGGCTTTGACTTTGCAACTATTCTGAAATTCTTAATAATGTAAGTTTTGCTACAATTTTTGCAATCATTGACAGAAATATTTGCATAATTTCAAAGCCTAAACAAAACTTTCAAAATTATCACTCTGATAGTCTTTTATTAAAAAAAAAAAAAAAAAAAAAAAAAACTAAATCTAGACTAAATACAAACGCTGAAATTATTGCTTGTTTTTGTTTTGAATTTGGATTTTCATTGCTTACTTAATTAATCGTTCGTGTTTCTAAATCTATTTTGATAGGATATAGTCCACAATGATCTATTTTGAACTCATCCAAGTGGTATGATTTTGATCTAAATGATGTGATTTTGATCTAAACGATGCAATTTTCAAGAGCCCCAAAATGCCTGAATGGAATCAAGTACACAATCCCTTGCAAATAAATTAATTTTTTATTATCAAATATGTATTTTCTAAGCAATTAATTAATTCATAATTTCGCATCTTTTCAAATTTTATTTTCGTTTTGATTATAAACATTTTCATTCGCTGAATTGTATTTGCTGCAAAATTCCTATAAACATTCACTTATGTCAGTAAATGATTATTTGAAATATCTTTTGTATACATTAATTTAAATAATGAAATATTTTCATATCGACTGATTACTTCGTCAGAGATAACAAATGAGATTGATTGAAAAACAAATACTGTATTTTCTGCCTCGCTACTTCATCAATTTTGATCTTACAATTATTGCTTAAAGTTTCAGAATAATTTTCAAAGAAACTTAAGTAATTTGTTATTTAATTAATCCATTTATTACTTGAAAATATGCTTACAAACAATAAAAATTTCATTATCATTTATTCAATTTTTAATAGCTGATAGAGTTATCTTATCAGTCCTCCACAGAGATGTGTTTGTTTTTGCATTCAATAACAAATATCGAGAAGTTTACAGTACGTATGTATCTGTCAAAGACAATAACGAACGTGAAATTAATTAACGACCAAAAGCAGACAGAGTGAATTTATACTGCTATAAATATAAGTGAAATGACATTAAAAAATGATTAAAAAAAGTGATTTTTTCCGGATAAAAATTAAAAGGAAACTTTTTAAAATCGATACTTTAAGGTATTGAATAATTGTTTGCGTTGGAAGTCTGTTGGGCATTTTTTGCATAAACTAAGTAATATTTTAGGGTATAATCGAGAAGTTAAATATAAACAATGCTAATGACTGAATGCATCTCATATGATTTTTGTAGCTATTAACTAATCCTCTTAGAACGCGTTTATGTACACAATGAACAATTTTTGTCATTCACAAATATATTTATTCGTTACATATTTTCTTACAGATAACTCAAAATTTTGATGCATTTTTGATCATTCATAATTTTTGCTAACAATTTTTTTTGATAAAATTTTTTTTCAAATGAAACTCTTCAAATTTAATACTTGCATTTTTGATCATTCATTCTAAATCTGAACATTCGAACAGTTAAATATACTTCAAGTTTATTTTTATCAGTTTGTATGACACACAAATATAATATTCAAAAAGTTAGCATTACATTTAAAAAAGTCCTTCAAGTTGTAAAGCTGATTGAGTGCACAAAACAAGAAAAAACCTGAATGAAAATGCATTTGTTTTATATCAAAATCATCAATCGAAACTGTTTTTTATATCAAAACAGTTTCGATTGATGGTTTAAAACTGATCA